TTGCAACAAGCGATGCAAATCATAATTAGCATACAAACATAGCATTCATTGTTTAGCTAATGAGAATGATAACAAATTATAAACATTATCATCTTTTAAATTTCATTTTTTTTTTACTTAATTACTCCCAATAGCTTCTATTTTAATAGTTTAAAAATTAAAATATCTACAACTAATAGCTCGTATCTTAATTTAAAAATTGAAATATCTACAACCAGCAGCTCCTCTTAACTTAAAAATTAAAATAATTATAGCTAATTGCTAGAAATTTATGTTGACCAAAATAACTATGAAGATTTTAAAGAAAATAGCTCATTTCATCCGATGTGATATTTTCAAAACGGCATAGAAATGAATCCAAATATTCAAAATGCCATATGATACTAATACATATGTCACTTTTTTCGTTTAATTTTTCAACTTTTTTCACTTCTCAAATATATTTGATTATAGTACATTATCATTCTCATTAAATATCTTGAATGAAACCATATCCATTAAATATTTTGAATTAAACTTTAAAACGGAAAAAAAAACTTGATATATTTTAGAGAGGAATTTAAAAAAAAAATAATAAAAAAAAATCCTTCTTTTCGCTTATCCTTGCTAAATGATTGATAATGATTTTGATGAACGGTAATTGGCTATTGGATGATTGGTTGTGTTGGATAATTGTGACGATTGATGACAAATTGACATTGAAAACCTGGTGAAAAACGGTGATGTCGTTGCATTTTAAATGTTTTATTTGACATCGAACAGAAAGTAATGCATTATAGATGAAATCTTAACGAGCACTACCATATTTTTCAAATATCTCCATCTTAAATTTAACAAGCTATTTTCTTTTTTTTTTTTTTTTTTTGGTCAAACTTTGATAATAAATACGATTAAGAAAGAGTTTTTCATTTTTCTTGTACGTTGTTAATAAGAGAATTTATGAAAAATGATTTAAAAATGAAAATGATAGTTAAATATTGCAAAAGGTTTGCAATTTTATCACATTTTTTCATTGCAATTAATATTAATTAGCTTTAAAATTTTCTTTTATCTGATGAGCACAAATAGACCAAACTTTTTTTTTTCGAACAACAATGTGCTAAATTTTTATATTTTATTTATGCTTTTGTTTTCAGTGTTTTAATTTTTTGCTTTTATTTTTGTTACATCGTATTTTTTTTTGCCAAATATTTTTCTTTGCTATTTTTGATTTATGAGAGAAAAATTTCCGGAATTTTGAGTTTTTTTTTTTTTAAAGTTCGGTTAGATGAACACCAAAAATTGTTTGCTACATAAATGAAACATTCAAAGATTGAAAAAATTCAAAATATTAAGCAATTAACATTTTGATTATCTTTATGTTAGAAACATCAAATTCGTGTTTCACAAAACACTGTTAAAAATGATGTGCAATAAATAAATATGCGCAAGCTATCAGAAAGAGAAAATTTTTCAAATTTTTACTTTAAATTAGATTAAATATTTTAAACTAAAAAAAATCATCAAATATTGATAAATGCTGCTATAACTTCACTACTGCAATTAACAAATCTAATTCCAAGCATGATCAAATTTAAAGTAGCTCGTAAAGTTAGCTTTGATATGTGTATATATCTCTCCTTGATAATAGGAATTGTCATTTTGATAAATTCATATTATCGTTCCACAATAATTTATTTGATCGTACTTAATTCTATATGCTGAAATATGCGTTAATTAAAATATGTATGTATTATTTTCGAACATTCTATCTCATTTTCATTTCAAATGGATGATATAATAAATTTCAGAACAAAATAGCCAATTAATTAATTTTGATGAACAAGAAGTACTGCTTTAAAAGAGGAACATCTCGAGATATCTCTGGAATAGCGATGATAGTGACATTTGATATTTTCCATGTGATATCACAAGTTAGCAAACAGTTTGATAAGAATGCTTAAATGTATGGATGAGAAATTCAGCTCCGCCCCGATATCTTTACCGTAGTAGTATTAGCTATTTCTTACCACAAAACTAACAACCACTACAACCGATTACACATTCAAAATTTGCGCATTGGTGGATGTATTGTTGCAGCGATGAGAAGCCGGTCACTTTAGCTAATGGTCAAGCTATCACACTAGCAAATATTATCACTTCCAATATCACTATCACTAATTCCAACGACGATAATAACAACAATAATAACAACGATAACAACGACAACAACGATAACAACATTAGGTGTAACGATACGGATGATGAAAAAGTGTCTAATTTCATTTCTTTTTTTTTTTTTCAGATATCTGTAAAATTCAAAAAATTCCACTTACTATGCTAAAAAAAAAAGTAAATAATTGATATCATTTTGATAATTCAAGTAACATAATGTTTTTGTTTTTTGAAGCAAAAAATTGATGTATCAAAAATGATTTAAATTAATTGATCCTTTTTTTTTTCTATTTTATTATTTTCTACTGTAATATTTTGATGTCATGGTAATATTGCTAATTGTAATAGTGTTATAATTAGCTCTTCAATTTATTTGCTTACTATAATTCTATAACAAATGACAGTACAACAATTGATTGTGAAAAGAAAATGATCAAAATTTTGATCATTTCAATGACATTTTTTTTTCATTCATTTCTTTAAACTAAAAAATTGGTGTATGAATGAGCTAGTAAAATTTTAAATAGTCAAAAAAAAAAGGTAAATTAATATTTTTAATGAAATACTCAAATATGAAAGTAGATTATAAGTAGACAAACTTGTAATTCAAAAATCTGAATTTTAAAAAACTATTCTCGCAACTTATTATAACCTAAACAGGATTAATGAACAAATATAATTTAGTAGTAAACTTATTTCTTACAATAAATGTAGGTCTTTCAAATTTTGCAAATTGATAAATTCAAAAGTTTTGAAATAGTCAAAAAAAGGTAAATTAATATTATTTTGTATAATTAAAATTTTTGCATTGCTTTTCAATAACTATTTTTCAACCGGGAGGACAGTAATGATTAATTAGAAATAATTGACTAGTTATATGGCTTAAAGTGATAGAGTAACTTATGCTGACTACTGTTACAATATCACTTTGCTACGGTTTTTATTCATTAAAAGATATTCATAAAAAAATATAATGCACTTACATTTTGCAATGTAAATAAATAAAAATGTGAGCATTATGAAATATTTTCTGTTGCGAGGAATATTATTTAGTTTATTTTCAGCAATTTAAAATTAACGTAATTGCTTTCCACTTTTGTTTAAATATTATTAAAAAATTTGAAATATTCCAAAAAAAAAAGGATAGTTTTTGAAATCCATTTTTAGAGTATCTGCAAACAGTGTCAATTTCCGATTATACATGAATTCATGTCAAAGGTACTTTTTTTAATTATTATAAAAATGGTCTGGAATTAATTCATTAACATATAATTCATCTAATTAACGCAACTAATTACAAGACAATGGATCTATTTGTCAAGAAATTCATAATGCATTAACATCAATAATTCCCATCAACTCATTTGCTAGCTAAACTTGCAAAGATCCGAAATGCCAGCTAACATAAACTTTCATTGCCTAGTTAAGCAGTTAAGCTTGAAATCTTTTTAGCCTAGTTAAGCAGATTCCTGTAAAACATCTCTTTGAACTATTCTGTACAATCATCAGATCAATCAATAAATGTAACATAAGAAATTGCTTGATTATTTATTCAATATGATAAAAAAAATAAGTTAGAAAATTTGTCTTAGAAAATTTCATTGGCTTTTTGACAGTTGTTTATATCTTTTTGTTTACAAAATTTTCAAGAATATCTTTTATTAGTATAATGTAATACTATGAAAATCAAAATTACTCAACAATTTCATGTATTTGCCAATTAATTTTCAATTTCAGCAACAACAATTTACTACAACAAAGAGCTAATTCTGTTCTGAGAATTCTTAAATTTAAATCACTTAAAAATTTTTTTTTTACAGATATGTGATTGTGTGTATCATGAAAATTGTGTTCGATGTTCAGTTTGTTTCGCACTTCTCTATGATAAATGTTTCGAAAGGGATGGAAATCTATACTGTTGCTTGCATTATTATGCGTAAACTTTTATTAATTATGATAATTAGAATTCCAAATAAAATTTTGAACAATCAATTTTTTGACATTTAAAAAGTTCAAAGTGAATTTTTTGTATTGGAAGAATATCGGTAGGCTTAATTCTATCTCAGATAGCAATAGAATAATTATGATTCAAAGGTTTTTGCAAAGTATGCTAAGTCTTTTTGATTCATGCTTATTTCAAAACAATCTAAATTACATTCGATTTTTAAACTTTTATTTTTTTTTAAACAAATGAAATTGCAATTTACAGAGAATATAGTCCAAATCGATGTGCCGGCTGTCGGCAAGGTATTGCACCAACAGAAATGATTTTTAAAATTAAGGTATTGTGGTACGCTTATTGATTGCTAGAAATTTTGCAACTATTTAGTTTTAAAAATTTCTATTTGCCTTTTTTTCCTTTTAAAAACGTAAGTCGCAAATTATCATATATTGTTAGGCTATTTGGAAAATTTAAAAAGTATTTCCATAATTTTATATCTATTTTCAGAGTGATATACTTTATCATATCAGCTGTCATCGATGTATTCTATGTGGCAGAAAAATATCACAGGGAGAACAAATTTGCATAAATGAAATATCAAAAAGTATTGCATGCATTACGCATGCTATTTGCAGCAATGATTGTAGGTTCCCTTGCAATATTCGTTTTGAATAATTGATTTTGTATTTGAAAATTTTGAAATTGATTTTATTGAAGACTGTAAATTAAAATAATCAGATGAGATCTATTTAGAAATTTCATTATTTTTCCAATGAATTCATTTAAATTTATAATATTTTGTATTTTGAAATTGATTTTATTGAAGACTGTAAAAAAATAATAAGATGAGATCTATTTTTAAATTTCATTACTTTTCCAAAGAATTCATTTTTAAATTTACTTTAAATATTTCAAATATTTGACATTCAAAATTATAACCTTTCTAACATTTCAGTATTTAATATTTCAACACCAGCTACAACAGTTTGCATATTGGAAGCAGATGATGGTGGTTTACTTTCTGAAGCCGTTTCAAGGTATTCTTTTATTTTTGATAATTCAATTTGATATAATTTATTGTTTTGGGATTGGATATTGTAACAAAATTTAATGTAAGCTTTCATCTTAAAAATTAATTAGCAACGATGAACTTTGAATATTTAAATAATTTTACAAAAATCTCCTATATAAATAATTTTTTCCACCTTTTTTTTTTTAAAAAAAAAAAACTAACATTAATGACAAAAAAAATTCATTTATGGTCAGACAAAAAATAAGTTAAAAGTCGAGAAAAAAAATTGGAAATATTGTATGATATAAAATAAATTTATAAATATGGCATTGTTATTAAAAATGCAAAAAAATTTTTTAAACAGTTATTATTTGAGGGAATTGAATTTATCAACCAGCCTTTTCACACATTCACATGAAACATATGGATATGAACAAAATGATGAATCAAATTTTTTGAAGCGTAGAGGACCACGTACCACCATTAAGCAGTATCAGGTAACTTCAACCATTAAACAGTACCAGGTAACGTCCATTTTCAAAATATTTAAGCTTAATTTTTTTAAAAAAAAAAGATAGGCAAAAGTTGATCAATTGTAATTCATTTTCATTTATTCCTCTTCAGTTATTTCCTGCAAATTAAATAAAATCGAATGCATTTTGAATATTTCGTTTGCTTCAGTTAGACGTACTAAATAGAATGTTCACGTCAACTCCAAAACCATCAAAGCACGTGAGAGCTAAGCTAGCATTAGAAACAGGCCTCAGTATGCGTGTCATTCAGGTATAAGCGATACATTCATCAAAATAAACTTCTGGAAAATTTGCATATTATTTTTCTACTTTACAAAAAGATAACATTAAAAAAAATGAATTAACATTATTTTGAATTAATTTTCAACTTTAGGTTTGGTTTCAAAATCGTCGAAGTAAGGAGCGACGATTGAAGCATTTATGCAATTATTTGAGACGATTTGAGCAGCGTGGTTTAATACCGCCACCGATTGGTTTTGATTATAATAATTGCTTCTAATTTTGTTACAGTTATTATGCATTTATATTTATAAAATGATGTAGCAGACGAGAATACTAAAAACTTTTAGCTAATATCCTTCAAAGTTGGCATATTCTTCGGCGACATTGCTAGCTAAATGATAATTTTGATATAAATTGTTGTTAAGCTCTTAAAGTTTATTTCAATTTATGATTTCAGCACCTGGAAGGATAAGTTCCACTGATTCAATTACTTTGGAGCAATTACTATCATTTCCATTTGAAGCAGATGAAGAAGGCGACGAGGTTGTTAATTAATATGAAAATTATCGATGAATATGATTTTATCAGATCTATAATTTGAAGAGAATTCTCTTAAAAATGAAAAGTTTTATTATTGATCTTAATCTATCCTGGAAAATTATATGTAATATTAATTGATTTAATATTCTTCATAATTCAAAATTTGATTTACAAAATTTGATATCTAATTTTTTGATTGTAACTTAAAAAATGTTCATTGGCGGTTCATTCCAGTCTTCTTTAAATAAATATGAGCGGAATACTTCTATTACAATTTGTCGCTTGAAATATTGTTTATTTCAAATTCAAAATATCGATCAAAAATTATCTATTGATTTTAGTTGACTAAATGAAGTAAAAGATAGCAGTATGGTTTAATTAACTGATAACCACAAACTTTTTTTTCATTGATAATTATGAACGAAATGAACTCTTCCATACTTTATATTTTTGCTAATGAATTCTTTGTCATCTAAAGATAATAATATGTAATTGATGTAAACTGGAAAATTTGCATAAATTTATTGGTATATAAGAATGAAAAATAGATGTGAATGATTAATTTATACCGAATCACAAGTTTAGAGGCGCTTCAATCGGTGTTATTTCATTTGTCTTTCGACCAATTATTAGTTATGATAACAAATGGTGTTCTAAATATGGTTTTACAAAAATTAAATTAAATTTTCGGAAAATTTTGATAAATTAAAATTGAAACTGGAGAATTTATCTGGGAAAAAAGTAATCATAAAAAAAAATAATTACAATTAGTATGAAATTTTACAACGTTTTTGTTTTATGACTATTAGACTAACAAAAGAAGGAAGAAGAAAATTAAATATTAAAATATTAAATGTGAATTGAGGAAATTAAAAATATGAAACGTGGTGGTTCTCGTCGGCGCAGAAGAACGGTAACAATGGAGGAAGATGTTACAGTTGAAGGCGATATTGCTAGTTCATCTCTAGCTGGCGTTAAAAATTTAAAGGTTCATTAAATGTAAACTTACCAAAAGTACAAAAAGAAAAATATCTTTTTTCGTTTGCAAAATCCAATTAATCATTTTTATTTGAATAAATATATGAGTGAATAAATGAAATAGATAAAATATATATAAAATTCAAAAAAAAAAATTTTTCAACCGTAAATTTCTTTATTTTTTTGCTAATATATAAACACAAACAAAAAATAACAACTGATAAATGATTTTAAAAAAGATAAAATGTTAACAGCGATTCAAGCAGAATCAATTCGTTGAATTTACAGAAAGGTACTGTGCGTCGTAAAAGAAGTGGCAGACCAATGACCAACGAAATGGAAAAATTGATTTCTGATTATGTAAACTACGTCAGATCAATGGGTTTGCAATGCATTCTTCAGTACAAAAACATCAAAAATGAAACAATTAAATAATGGAAAACTGTTCAAATTGATTAAATTAATTAATTAATCAATCTAATGGAAATCTCAATATTTCAATTTTGGAGTTAGATCAAAAACTAAAAATTATAAATGTAAATAAAATACTTACCAGACAACTGAATAACATGTTAACACTTTCATTGAGAAGAAAAATAAAAGCGAATGCTCCCAAATTTAGTAAAAATTCAAATTAAAACAAAAAGCTATAAAAAATATTCACCATATAAATTTCTCGAAACATTTCCAGGAGTTGCTGGTCTACGACGAGAGTTTGAGGAGCTAAAAATGTATGTGCCACCAAACAATGAACATCACGCATTTACAGCAAATCCATCTAAAAATCGTTATCGTGATGTACCGTGCCTGGATGTTACACGGTTGTTTTCTATTTTAAAGTACCACTGGATCATTTTAGCATAACAGTTAAAGTTGAAATTAAATTTTGAAAAAAAAAATTATTTATAAATTTAAAGAAAAAAAAGAATCGAATTTATATACTTAAGGAAAATTATTCTAGTGGAATAATTTACTGATAATAATGATAACGAGAGATGATCGATTGAGGATTTATCATCATTTGAAATTTTTTTTTTTTAATTACAACTCGTAAGTAAAGAAAATATCAAAAATGAAATTACATTTAATACGATGAAATTTTAGAGTTGTTTTGACACTGAATGTTCCACCTGAAACAGATTATATTCATGCAAATTGGCTGAAAATGGAAGGTTGTGCTCATCAATACATTGCTACACAGGTAAAATTAATTAATGTAATTAGCATCATTTTAAGTCTCTCATATAACTTCAAAGCAGAAAAAAATCACATCTTGAGATTGCAAGTAAATAATTGCAATAATTTATCCACTTACATTTCAATCAATTCAATTTTATAATGTAGGAATTCAAAAAAATCTTTTAAAAATTTTAAAACATTATCTTGTCTCAGAAATTTTGGCACTATTTATCAATTTATAAGACTAATTTGGAAATACAACATAATTAAACAATCCCATACAAAATACCACCATGTTGTCGATCTCAAAAACCTTACTTTGAGCTTAATTTAGAAAATAATAAAATATTAACTTCATTTTCTATAAAACTATCATATACTGATAAATAACTTTACTTTATTGCTACCGAAATAATTGCTTGCAAATATATTATTTACATTCAAAAATTAATTGTCTTATAACTTATTACAAATAATATTATGAATTAGGCAATCATAAAATAATTCATCATTCAAGCATACTTCTCTGATCAAATAGAAAATTTAAAAAATTAGATAGTGCATAAAAGATAAGAAATAAAATTTTTAATGTATGCAAATTATGATACGATAATGTGGTGAAATAATTAGTCATAATTCAATTTTATACATTAAAAATGTCCTATCATAGGGTCCACTCGAATCAACTGCAAGCGATTTCTGGCGTATGGTACATCAGGAACAAATTACAACGATTATAATGTTATGCAAAACAATTGAGGATGGCAAGCCAAAATGTTTTCAATATTGGCCTGCAGAAAATGGTGAAAATAAAACTTACGGTTGCATGTTTGTCATGAATAAGCGGGTTTGTCATGTTCATTTCAAAATTTTCATCTCTTACAATTACTGATATCATTGTGCACTAAAGAGTATAATTAAATTTTTTAAATTATATCTTTAATAGTATCATTTTTAATAACATCTTTTGATAGTATCTTTTGATTTTGTGATAAATGGTATCTTTTGATAAGCATGATATATAATCGTATTAGACCAATAATTAGTTTGAAAAAATCTTTCAATTTGTTGTAGTCGATATTTGGAGAGTAAGAATGCGAAAAATAGAGATTTTACTTAGTTACACGTTTGTTTCTATTCTTTCTTGTTTTTAATTTATTCGAAATTTTAATTCGCTCTTTTATGAATTTAACGAAAACCTAAGTGTGAACAAATGTTTTACATTGAATAAATTTGAATTATTTGTTTTAAAAATTATTTTGCAGTCGGAACATGAGGATAAATTTGAGACCTATCTTCTGGAAGTGTTACCAGAAGGTTGTTCAAATTCAACTATCGTGAAACTTATACATATGACAGATTGGCCTGATCGTGGTGTACCACAAAGTGGAATGACCATATTAAGGCTAATTCGAATGATGCCTACTGTATTTATTTCGAACAATATTTTTGTCTTTTCATTCATTACGTTTGAAAATTTTCATAATTTCAAATGTTTTTAGTCCTTTCAACATCTAAACAGTATAATATCTCAAAAAATTTAAAATTAATTTTCAATTCCATCTTTTATCATTTCCAGCTTATTAGTGCTTTTCCATACTCACATGATGTAATGAATGCTTTTTTTAAATCTTAATAATTTTAAGCAATTATTTTAGAGTTCTACCAGCATAATTCATTGCTCAGCTGGTATTGGTCGTACAGGTACTGTGGTAGCAATTGATACATTATTATCACGTCTCTGGAAAAATCAACCATTAAATGTAAGATTAAATTTTAGTCAAATATGAATTCATTTTCACTTTCAGTATTTGATTTGATTCTCATTCTCCCATCCACTAGGAATCATTGAGACTAATTTTGGTATTGAAATCGGAATTTATCTGGTTCAAGTTGATATAATGAGCATTTATTTCACAAGTAATTGCG